GATATATGGGGTGCAACAATACGTGTACTCATAGAAGAGGTCCACGAAACCTTCAAGATTTGAAGACTGTTTGTGTGGAAGAATGGGCCAAAATCACACCTGAGCAATGCATGCCACTAGTTTCTCCATACAGGAGGCGTCTTGAAGCTGTCATTGACAACAAAGGCTTTTGTACAAAGTATTAGATAAATTTCAGTAAATGTGTTCAATACTTTTTCCCTGTGCCATTCCACTTTATTACAAATAACTTCATTTCTGGACATTTATGGTTTGATTTCTTTGTATGTATGGATCATTTGGGTTGATACCGACATCTGGTGAAAATTTCATGTCATTAGCTCCTCTAGTAATATATTTACTGAGAAAAATGGTAATGTGTTCAATACTTATTTTACCCGCTGTATTTGAACTATTGAGCCTGATGGCAGCTGTTACTAAACAGCATACTGGACTGGACAACACACATTGATCATCTGTACAGGAAGGGTCAGAGCAGCAGACTGTACTTTCTGAGGAGGCTGCTGTCTTTTAACATTTGCAGGGAACTCCCATGGGTGCTCAGTCAGTCTGTGGCTGCCAGTGTTCTTTTCTATGCCGTGGTGTTCTAGAGCGGTGATTCCCAAAGTTGGGGTTGGGACACAAAGTGGGGTCCTGAAAAGATTTCCCATTTTAAYAACATTTTTGCCTTAGTTGCTTAAAATGTATAAATGTAGAGTACTAAATATTGTTATTATGCCCATGTTTAGTTGACCTGATACAAATGTTTATCATCCAAAAATAGTTGTGGGCACACTGCTCTCTGCTACTGTTATTTTGTGGGTCAAAAGCTGAAAGGTTTGTGAACCACTGCACTTCATAAATCAATTTAAAGGGTAATAAAATAATTGGTGATGTAATAGTTTCCCTATGATTATTACAAAAACACAAAATAAATATAAATAAGTATTTACATTTGTGTAGCCTTTGTTTTTAGGGATATTAACAAAGTTTGTGTACTCAGACCAGTAATATTTGGGGTCACAAGTTTTTGCAATGAATATGTTGTGGGTCAAAAGCTGTAAAGTTTGGGAACCACTGTTCTAGCGAGGGATCATATCCAAGGAGGATACACCTAGTCTGGACAAACTGATCAGGTGGGCCAGCTCTACGGTGGGCATGAAGCTGGACAAACTGTGTTGTTTTCGTTAATGATGACGATGACGAAATATTTTCGTCGACGCCCCCTTTTTTCATGACGATAACGAGACGGTAACAAAATAAACATAACTCGTTGATAACTAAGACGTGACGAAACGTGGGTGAGTTTTCGTTGACGAGACGAGACTGGACGAAAATGTTAGTCGGTGGTCCGTCAATCATTTTTGCAGAGTGGAGGGAGGGGCAGCAGCGCTGTTACACACACGTCCACACAGCAACACAGAACATTTCCTCTTCTCATTCAGAAAAGAAAGAAGACAAACAGCCTGCGCCGCTTCGCAAAAAAAAAAAAATCCGTCGTCACCTGTACCTTAACCAGGGTGTATGTCTCCACCATTAAAAGCTGTCGCAGGTCCATTCTGAGCTCAGAAGCTGTTTGTTCATGACGAAAATAAAACTCTTCTGTGTTTTCTTTTTTTTTTGGCCGGGGGGAGTTAGCAACTGCGCATGACAGTGCCTGGTGCATGTAAACACTCGTTTGCACAAGTTTAATAGTTTACTAAGTTCTGAGGAATAAAGCCACAAAGTGAGAATGTTTTTGTTTTGGGCATTTTTAGAGTAACACAAATTCACAAAAGTTAACACAAACTACTCAAATTAATTTGTAAAGACTAATATGTTGTCTTTTTTAAGACTAAAATTAAACAATTTTTTAAGCATTCGTTGACTAAAACTCGACTAAAACCATTAAATGTAGAAATGACTAAAACTGAGAAGTATTTTTGTTCAAAAGACTAAGACTAAAATTAAAATAGCTGTCAAAAACAACACTGACTGTTGGGCATTATGAACAATGCCAGTCACCCTCTGCACACAGTCATCAACCAGAGGAGTCTGTTTAGGGACAGACTGAAAAATGTCTTTGTCCCTCATGCCATCAAAACTGCTACGCTCCCCCTCCTCAGTGGGAGTGGGGTGTAACAGGAAGAGAGAGGGTGAGGAAAAATCAGCAGACACCACCACYGTCCAAACTGTTTTTACTGATTATTTCTGCTTTATTTGTACTTGCTGTCTGTGTGATGCTACTGGAACGTTAATTTCCCTGAAGGAATCTTTCCGAGGATTTAATACATTTACACCTAATCTAATCTCACCAACCAGATGGCACCTGACCTTCACGACGCTGACCACTCCGCCCCAGTTTCTGACTGTGCTGAGAAACCGGTTCATCGTCCTCACTTTCCTCGCTGCTGGTGCTGCTTACGTCCAGGACGATGTCTTTCTGGGGGTCAACTCGGACAAAATTCCGGCACTCAAACGTCAAATGGCCCGCTGAAGGAGATCAACAAAGATTTACCAGGCTGACTTGGTAAACATTAAAGAATGCAGAATAAAACCATTCGTAATTATGAAATGCCAAACAAAAGACTCAGAAATGCAAATAAAATATAGTTTTACTCACGGTATCCACATTTCTTGCATCCAGCTCTGATGTTATCTTTGTTGGCAGCTGTWAGAAATAAAATACGAGTCAAACTATTTAAGATACAAACCCCATCGACTAACAGGACAGGTTCATGATTTAGCTAAAAGTACAAATTGATCGTAATTAATGCCTTATATAAAATATATATACACCGTTTTACTTCTCCTAAGATTACAGTTACAGGACAGATATATGTGGAGAAATATTAATCCTTGCTTAAACTTTTATATTTAAGTAAGTAAAGGTTTCATGTTAGTGCTACTGTGATGCTAATGCTTCCCGTTCGTGATTGGAGAGATTATTTCTACTTYCATATGACTGGAAGCTTTTTATTATTAAAATAAATCATCTGGTTATTAAACAGGAATTTACTAAATTAAGTACATACCCGGTTGCGCCATTACTTTCAAGGATAAAACCAAACAACAGTTTCAAAAAGAAAAGTTTCAACGCCGGATAAACGTCTTAAGTCCAAACGCAAAATACCGTCGGGGAGGAACATTTGTTTAGGAGGTTTCTGGTTCCGCTTTTTCTTCTTCTTCTGTTCAGGGACMACAAAAAGCAGTCGGAGGTTTGTATTTTTGGCGCGATGTCGCCATCAGCTGGAAAAATATAGATTGCACTAAATCTTTCTTTTTATTTCACTTGATTTTTTTCTACCCCCTTACAATAGCGCATCAAAAAAYATTAACTCCGGTTCAACTAACTTTGTAAAGTTATGAATGCTCAAAACTCATAATGTAATATTTTGAGCGTATATTGTAAATACTAAGTGTTTTGTGCCTGTTAAAGGTTTTATGTTGCCACATGGACAACAGTTGACAAAAGGAATGCTAGATAAACCAATTAACCTGTCACATAACAGTTATTTATTCTCATAAAACACATCAATGTAAACAGTAAAACATTTTCTTCCAGCAATGTTTGCACTTTTCCTGATTGATTTACCAGTAGAGCCAATTGTGGGTCTTTTYTTTTCTTTTCTTTTTTTGTCAGGGGTTAATTGACAGCAGCCAGGCTTGCAGATGGAAAATGCTGACAGATGTGGGGCCCTTAGACATGCTGTCATCACCAGGTCTGTGGCTGTGACACAAATCCACACACACACAATTTAAATCATAACCTCCCGACCATGCCACGTGCTTCAGTGACTGCCAGAATTATTACTACAATTAACTTTATTTATGGAGGAAATATAAAAGCGTTAAATTATCTGATGATTTCTCATAATGAGCTGCCTCACAGATCTCAGATCAATTGGGCCAGAGAACTCTGATCCATTRTTCCTCTTATCTTGAGGTCATACAGTCAACTCACAGGCTTGGAAAACACAAACAAAAAATTGCTGAGTTGCTTTCTGGTTTTCTTTCCACACTGTATGTAGCCCTCCATCTCCACAAACACTTTTTCCTAAATAATTTTTCTGTTCAGTCTTATATTATTGAAGGTTTTTACTGTAAAGTTGTGCAGAAAGCAACRTTACATCACAGTTCAAAGTTAATCCTAACCTATGAAATTTGTCATGAAGGTATATTTCTCAGCTACTAGGTTCAAAAAACTATTTCCTGTATGCATTTATTCTGAAAAAGCCTTGGCCACCCATTACATAAAAGTCTAGTTCCACCAGTGGWGRAGAAAGTACTCAAACACTGTACTTAAGTAAAATTACAGATAAACAGAGAAGAATGTACTCTAGTAAAAGTAAAAGTAAAAGTACCACATTAACATTTTACTTGAGTAAAAGTTGCTTTTAAAAATACTTAAAGTATTAAAAGTAAAAGTACTTGCTTAATGTATTCCCTAATGGTCTACAATATCATGAAGTGTGCCTACTGTATGTATATTTTAATACATCAATGGTGCCATTTTAGTTAACAATGCTGCAGATAATGCATAGTTTTGTGTTTACACTCTGTGACACTGTTCACACTTGGACTTGTGATTCTGTGCATCATCACATATTGTGACAACAGCTGCAGAAGCTGTAAATTCACCACCAGCATCCTCTATCAAATCTCAACAAGTCATTTGTTTGAACCAGTTAAATAAGGCCATGAATGGCACATTTTCTCCATGGTGGAAACCATTATGGGCATGCTGAGGC